ATATTGAATGCTTTTTGTTGCTTTTATTCTTGTTAAACTTTTATTTGCTTCTTTTTTTAAGCCTATTTTCAGGCTGGCAACCTGACACGTGCACCTCTAAGCGCTTTTAGCACAATTCGTGTGAGAGGTTCGTCGGCGACTGAACGGTTTTTCCGATTGACGTAATCCTGGCTGGTCGGTTGTCGCTGGCTCGCTGTGCTGGATTTTCCCAGTAATTTTCCCAGTATTTTCATTGGTTGTCGCAAGCGGTGCGCACAAATGACCCGAAAAGGATAATAGAAGGCGTGCTAGCGGTGGCGGCTGTAAAAATTCACCACGCAACGTGAAATATGGACTCTCTTCTCAAAGGCCGACTGTTGCGGCTGTTGAATGTTGCGCTTACATATACACATACATATGTGTGTGTATGTAAGTAATTTATTGGCGGCGGCCGGTGTATTTACTTTCAGACCAACATATGTCCCTAACCTAGCACACAAGGATATTATTTGAGGCTTAATGGCACGCCAGTAAATTATAGTTTGAGTTCTGACTTTGCACCACGATGATGCGGGTTCGATCCCTGCTGAAGTCTAGAAAAAAGAAGTCTGATGAGGCGATGTGGTGATCTCCGGAATAGCAGCTATAACTTCTACCGCTTAAACTTTGTTGGTTTTTGCATTTTTTTTTCTAACAAACAAATCGTGGTACAAAGCTCAATAGTACTATTAAAATAAAAATATCAATACGCCGCAATAAAAATTGACAAAAAAAAAACAAAAAGATTTCGCTAGTTCTTCGTACAATGTGCAGGCAAATCTTACAGCATATTGTCCTTCCACTGTATTTGTTGGTGCCTTTGCTTTCGTTGTTCACACAAAGGCGCCGATTTTAAGGTTCTTCGCCACATAAAATTCGTGAAGTCATCATTTCTTCTTCTTCGCTACCCTTTGCCCGCTAGATCAGGACCATAAATCTCTCGGAAGCTCTTTATTTTCTTTCGTTCCCAAGTTGCTACACTTATTGTCAAGAGTTATTCTCCGATTAATCTCCAGACTGGCATCTTTTTCTTATTTGGCACTACAACGGTTTGTCGGTTTGGCCCCACACCGAAAAGCTTCGCCAGTTGCCTCTACCCTTTACAGTTTTGCGCCAGTTGTTCATCCCAAGTGCGAAAAGGTCCTTCTTCACTTATTCCTTCAATAGGGTTTCGTTGGCGCCCTTGATTTCGTTGTCCACAAATGTGGGCGGACTTCTGTTGTCACTTCGTCTTGTTCAAGCGGAGGTTTTTCTTCATCAAACGCGCCGTGTCGCCATTCGGAAGTGTTGAGAAGTACTCTGGACATCTGTCACCAGATTTCCATCTTAATCTATACAGGAACTGGCCTCGGTCTTGAAACCATTTGATTGCTATTCTGTTTTCTGCCTGTCTGCCAGCATCTAATGCTCTTTGCATTCACGACTTTCTGCCTATCGTTTCTTTCTTTGGAATATCTTCCGGTATCATCCAACTGTCGCTCGCGTAGCTATTGGCTGCAGGGTGGCTTTGTATGCTGCGCATTTCTCTGCAGCAGCCACACGGCCCGCTGGTGGTAGCAGAGGAAAAGACCGGTATCCCGGGATCCCGGATTTTTCCTCTTTTTTGTTACATTTTGATTAAATTTCAGGGCTCATTTTGACTAAAACTATTAACACTATTTTACTGATTGATTTGATCTGAACAACAGTATAGCAGAAACAACTCTCCTTTTAGACAAAGTTTTTTAATAAAACAAAACCTACTCCATAAACTATAAGAAAAAAGGTAAAGGTGCAGGCTTGCTTTGCTTGCTTCGCTGCGAGAAGTGTCAAAAATTATTTGGAATACTATACTAAAACGTATAAAGGCTGGCAGCTTTTCTTCACTTGCTTTAAGCGCCTCAAAGTTTGAAATAAGCAAATGTCTGATTTGAAAGCGTTTTGTATGATTTTAACAAAGAGGTATGTTCCTTTCAAAATACATAAATTCAAACAAAACTTTGTTTACTTAATTTAAAAAAGTCACAGAAAATGCAGGTAATTCGAAATTAAATAAAAATGATTAATTTTTTCCATATTTATATTTAACATATCCGTTATATTATAGTAAAATGTTCCAAAGCCCACATTTACAATTTTTACACGAGAGGAAACAACTTCTTATAGCTCTTTTCTTCAAGTAAATCGCTTTTTTCAGTTATAGTTTTTTTTTGGTAAATGTAGATATAGATATGTATGTATCACTATTATCATTTCTTTTAAATACAAACATTATTTCGCATTAATTTAAAAATCAATCTGAAAGTTTTTTTATACATTTTTTAGAGTTTTATAGGAAATAATTATTAACGTTAAGGGAACAGACATTGACTTTTCGACCAGCCAGACAGCTGGTTACTTTGACAGCGTTCCAAGCCACCATTCGGCCAAGCAAGTTTTCAAAGTAAATCAAAGCAAATTGAAGTCAGCAAGGCGCGCAAAGCAAGCTTGCATTGGGCCAGCGCCTTAAGACTTCTTATTTTCCAAAAGCTCTGAACAAGTATGTAGTGAGTACGTTGGAAATTCCACATATTGCTTAAATTAAAATAATTCAAAGTCACTTAGACTGACAGAGAGTAGGTGGGTTCACTTAAATTCATTTGCAATTTTTAAGAAAAAAAAACCGGCTTCCAGCCTGGTGGTATTCAGTAGTCTCTGTGTCGATTGGGTACATGGATTTTATTTTTGTTATTTTTAATAGCTATTTTTACAACCTAGCGTATTGCCAATGCAAAAATTTATTTTTTACAAGAATTTTTCTTTCGATATCCTCTGTTATTAACTATGTGCCAGTTTATTCATGTGGCTTACATTAATCGGTTAACATCGCTGTTAAAATTTCCCAGCAGTCGCATGCTAGCCGGCAAATGTAGACCAAAAATAGCTCATTCAATACAAACACAAAATTGAGAGCCGAAATCCATAAAGAAACTATTTGCGAAAAAATAATATAAAACTTTTTGACGCTGAGGTAAATTCCCATTATTTTTGGCTGCTCCTGCAATGCATCTCGGGAAATAGGGACAACTAAGAGTAACCTACTAACAAATAAAGACTCCGACATAAAATTGTTGTTTCTACCATTTTGTTGTTATAATCACATACTAACAATTTGAGGGCAGGCAAAGAAGAAGCATTGGCGGCAGAAGCAGCTGCAGCAGAAAAATACGAAGAAGAAGAAGAAGAATCATAAAAGGGTGAAAAGTAAACTTCTTTTTGGGGGCAGTAGTGCTAACTGTGCTAGTATGTGACAGAACAGAAAGTATGAAGTGAAGTATGTGATGAAAAGTAAAGTGAAATGGGGGGGAATTAAAAAGAGATANTTTGTGCGCGCAGGAAAGGGTAAAAACAACAAATAGCTGAAAACCCCCGTTTAGGGAAAGCAAAAAAAAAAAAATATATATATATATATTTTTAGTGGGGTGTTGCTACTTTGCGGCATTTTGTGTGGCGTTCAGATTGTTTCATTTTATTGTTGCATTTTTGGTTTTGCTGCTTTTTTACTTAAAATGCGGTAGTGAAATTGTTGGGGAAAAGGAGTTTACGGTTAAGTTAATTATATGCAGCTGAGAGAAAGCGAAACAGCTAAGTGGCACACGCCAAAGGGAATATGAAGGGTCGCAATATAAAACTTGGTGTATAGGAAAGGTAAGTAAAGTCAAATGTGTATGTAGAAAACTGAAAAAGTGAAAATAAAAATAAAGTTGTTATTAAAATCATAAATTGGGGCGAACAGAAAAAACTGTTGAGATAGTTGTTTTGTTTTTAGACATAAAAAAAATCTTTTAATACATGTATCCATTTTGTTTATTAATCAAAACTTCCCCTAACCAGGTAGTTTTTAGAGTGAGGAAATAAATAATATTCAAGGCTGCACGACTTGCTATCCCAAATGAAGTTGATTGCATCCAATAGCCCCACCTTCGATATTTCTGCCAGATTATAGTAGAACTGTGACTTTTAGGTGTTTGATTTAGCCGCCTTGACGACATGCCAAGACATTGACACAGAAAGTGGTGAATCGATTTATCGTTCTATTATTGTCGCGACAGCCTGTGTAGAGAGAACTCGTTTGTGTTCGCCCTCTCATGACACCGGTCAAAGCTATTACTGCAGCGCTGCTGAGTTTCAGAAGATCGTCCGAATTTACCTATTTATCCGCCACCATAGTGACCTTAAGCCCTGACAATCATCTTGTTTGGTCCACGAGTCTTTTGTACTTTCCCTTGTACTCGTATGAAGGTCGATTAGTCTTTCAAGTGTTTTTGGAATAAAGGATACAAAAAATATTGACCTAAAACATTCTGCCTGAGAGTTATCTAGTTTCCTTAAGCTAATATAACCCTTAACTCCTTCCAAGAATTTGCTACACATTCATCTGTTCAGCTTCTTGACTAAATACTTAATTAATTAGGTATCAATCAGAATTATGGCAGGGACCACACCAGCCAATCCCGCTATTTTGAACGGATCGAATGACTTGATACTCAAAGCTACCTTTACCTTATTCACAATGTCTGAGATGTATTCTCCAGGATAATGAGCCCACATTTCTGCTGGGATACTTGCAATTTGCTTGGTGCTAGTTAGAAGTTAATTAAATAATTAATTATTTTTTACATACATACACAATACAAAGCCAATTTATTGCAAAAAAAAGGTTTTGTTTATTTCTTTGTCTGTTTCATATTTCATGGTATTAAAACATTAAAACATACTTAAGCACACAGATATATGTATAGGCATGTACCTATTTATAAATATACATATATACACAGCGTTCTTGGCATCGGGTTATCAGTATTGTGGTCACCTCAAATCGTTCTTCTATTTACATACAACACAAAAGTTAATGCTTTGTATGTACAAAGGAATGTATGTACTTGCATATGTATGTATGTATGTGCAAATTTCTTTAAAAAATAATGCCAGACAATTGGTTGATAAATTAAAAATATTTTAGTTTCATTTCAGCGTTCTTCGTGAAAGGTGCTCTGAAAAATTTATGTTTGAAAAAATATGGCGTTGCTTAAGTGGAGCTGGCAGCTCTCAACGCTGCTGGTTAGTATTTCAAATACAAACATATGTACATACATAGTTGCCTAATGAGTTTTAAGTTGATTCTAGTGACAAATTTAACTAAACAACAAGACAAATGAAATCTTTAAAAATGCATTGAAAAAGAGTCTAAACCCGTATTTATTTAAAAAAAAGTGTTTATAGCTTTAATTTTTTCTAATTGAACAAATGGACTGGTTCATAGTTCGGAATTTCATATGAGAAGTACCGTAGGAGAATATTTTTCCATAATTTTTGGATGCTTTGCGCTCCGCTGTGCATTCAATTACGACGGGCGTAAAAATATACAGATAGACAAAAACCTAAGAAAGGATTTTTTTTTTGAGAGGCGTGGGCCTAAAATGCCTTCGCACCATATTTGTAGCAACTTTCGCTCCTACGTGAGTGGGGCGATGCCACTAAAACAATCCTTGTTCCTACGCTGAAAATTGTTGTAACCTGGTACCACTTTCGCATTACTTGAAGGTAGAGAATCCCTAATTGGTCAGTGTCAACTCTCCCTGCGCCCAGGGCCGCTATGTTTGAAGCCAGTGCCTAGCTATTAGCTCGTCTTCTCTTCGAGTCTTCGTAAAGGGCTCAGCCCGTTGCTACGCCATTGCCATTTTGTCGCTCATTTATACGGTTACGTTTCCCGCTTTTTCGATCTAAACATACTTTCGAAGTATTTTGCAATATCGTCCAAAAACTGGCGTTAATTTTTTCAAATTTTTTTGTTAACGGTCTCCCGCATTTGATTTCGGCACCAAAAAAATTGTTAAAAATCAACGGGATTTTTTAGCCGCTAAAAACTTGCACTAGAATTTAAGGGGCTACAAAATTGCATGCTCGAAAATTTTTAAGAAATTCTGAATAAAAGTGAAATTTTTTTTAAATTTTTTTTAAATTTATATAAAGAGCGAAATTTGGATTTATGTATATGGTTTCTATTAATAATGAACTATATTTTCATAAATAATAAATGCAAAAAATTTTTTCATGAAAATAACTGTGAAGATTATACATATTAGGACAAAGTGTACACTTTCATTTGTTATATCGAGCCCTTACCGCCAAAATAACGTAAGCGACTTTTTTTCAAAATTTTCTTTTTGATGCAGAAATGTATCTAGATGCTCTAGGAATATTTCTGCATCAAAAAGAAAATTTTGAAAAAAATGTCGCTTACGTTATTTTGGCGGTTAGGGTCCGATATGTTTCCGTTATTAAAAATTTATCCAGCACAAGTTTGCCATACACTGCACCTAATATTGGTCTCATCTACATTTTTTTCTGCTTTAACTATTAAAATAAATATCATCAACTCATTTTTCAAACGCTTTAAAATAACCATTGTTCTCCTTCTTTTAATTTATCAACTGCTGCAGATAACAACATTCATCTGCACCGCACACTCTCAACAAAACTACACCGACCCAAATGAGCAATTCTCACTCAACGAAGAGGCAGCCCAACATCTGCTCTCCCAAGTCAACGATGTCTATTGGGCCAGCGCTACAGCATATCGTCAATTCGCCGACGACACACTCAGTCCCGAAATTTTGATGCGTGAAAAGTTAAGGCCCTTCTATGAGACCATGCAAAAATTCGACTGGCAAAATTTCGTAGACCCACTACTGAAGCGACAATTTGAAGTGATTTTGCGCGGCGCCAAATATCCGCCAATCAATTATAAGTTTAAGCGGGCCACACACACGCTAAAGAACATGCCGCGCAAGAAGTGGGTGTGCAACATGAAGGAACCCACCCAGTGCAATATGGCTTTTGTGCATCAAATCAAGTCGATCTTTACGAATAGCGACGATCTGGATGAAATTAAATATTACTGGAAGGAGTGGCGCAACAACATGCCCTCTGAAGTTAAGGAGGCGCTGCACTACTACATCGCTTACTATCAAAATATGAGTACGCCAGATGTGCAACCATCAGCTCACTGGTACGATCAGTATGAAGATCCGCATATGATCTATGAACTGGAGCAACTAATGGATGCGCTGCGACCTTTCTATCGCGAAATGCATGCACATCTGCGCAATGTGTTGCGGCACAAGTACGGCGACGATGTGATACCACCCACTGGGCTCATACCACACCATCTCTTGGAGCAGGTTACCTATCAGGCGTGGAAGAAGGAGACTGTGCTGCAGAATCCCTTTCCCCAACGCAAACTGCCCAACCTACAGACCGAATTAGATGGCGAGGGCCTGCAGCCGTTCGATTTGGTCAATATTAGTGTGCAATTCTTTAGTTCGCTGGGCTTCAGGAATCTGACGGAGTAAGCCTTAGTCATTTCATTCATTGAAACTATTTTTTATGTACACATTTCTCTTCACCTCAGCGACTTTATTCGCGAGCACTTCATTCAAATGGACGCCGGCACTGGGGGTCCTGACTGCAAGTCGCGCATTTTCGATTTCGGCGAAGTGGAGTTGCACTACTGCCCCAAGGTCTACTACAAGAAGCTGTTGCAAACACACGCCGACATCGCCGCGGTGCAGTATGCGATTGAGAAAAATAATTTCCGCGTTGGTCTGAATCAGGAAGCCTGTCCCGGATTTGGCGCCGCTTTGGGCGAGGCTGTAATTTTGTCTGTGTCTAATCCAAAACACTTACAGCAACGTTTGGGACTCTTGAAGAATTATGAGTACGATGACATTTTGAACTTGAATCGCCTGTACCGAATGGTGAGTAGCGACTAGCATTTGTAAAGTAAGAAGCAAGTTCAGTTAGGTGTAAATAAGATGAAATAGAACCAGCAAAGAAGTGTATCCCTAAGACTACAGCAGCTTAGGGGCTGGAAAGCAACTCGATTTTGGAACACTATTTTTTCGATGCGGCAGCAACTGTATATCAAGGCTCTCTTAAGATAAAGATTATAACATAGAAATACCAAGCAGAGAATTTTTGGATCAAAGCAGCTCGAGGATCGGAAGATGCCTGCAAAGATGGCCCGGAATTAGAAAATAAAGTTGAAGGTGGTATTTAGAGGGAACAATTAGGAATACATTTGTTTATCCGTCAGCCAAGGTGTGTTGACTTTCTTCTAAGCTCAGCAGCCAGTTCAACCTAACTAAGCATAATCTTTTTTTTTTATTAGTGAGGCCCAAATAAATATGTGAAAAAGCGCTTATATGAGGTGGTAGGCGATGGCATTCGCAACTTCCAAAGTTGTATATTTAACAATAAAGTTTCGTGATAAAACATTACCCCATATATTTTAGTTTTGAGCTACATATATGGCGCTATTACCAAATGAAATGTTCTGTTTTTTGTTTCCAATCTTGAACATTTTTAGTTTCTCATTGCTTTTATTATTTGATCTCTATTTTCAGGCTGCTCATACACTGCTTACACTACCTACTTACTTTGTTCACGAAAAACTTTGGGTTGACATGATTGATGGCAGAGTGCAACCGGAACATTATAATTGCCACTATTGGAATCTAATGCAGAAATATATGGGTGTTGAACCGCCAGTAGAAACCAATGCTGGCGTATATGATATGCCTTATAAGTTCTACGAAGGCATTGTTGATCAGTTTCGTAGCACAAAGTAAGCAAAGTGATAGAAAACTGATGTTAAATATATAAGTGTGTGGTATTATTATTTACAGAAAATTGTTTGATGAATTTTTGGGCTATCAAATTTATCGCGTCATCTGCTTGAACATTGGCGAGTATGAGCGACGTAATGCCTACAAGCCATTGGATAATTGCGACTTTTATGGAAGCAAACATGCAGGGAAATTTCTGTAGTAAGTAGCTGCTAAGGAATTTAATTAAAATCTATTTATGAGAAACTAACACAACAAATGAACCGAAAAGCGCTAGTTTCATAAGAAATTTTGAACTGCGATTTCATCAGCGCAAATAAATTATTTTGACTTTAGACTAACAGAAATGTCTCTAAACTGATCTTCTAAATCTTTCTTCTGCAGCGACATGATGAGCGCCGGCTCTTCCAAGCCCTGGCGTGAGGTCATCAAACCATTAACCGTAATTCATTTGACAAATATGACAGCCACAGCATTCCTGGAGTACTTCGAGCCTCTGAACACATGGATCAGCGATGATAATGTGAGCAAGAATCTGCGGGTCGGCTGGATGCCAATCGACAGTAAGTGCACGTGTCATTAGCCAAACGCATTCTCACGCTCTTTCATTCATTGCTGCCACAAGCCACAACTGTCTTTCACCTAAATATTCGCATTTAGTATGTTTGTTAGGGTGGTCCTTAAAATCAAATTAGCGATTTTTTGTTCAGACTCACCCCTTCAATCGGTCACAGATATCACATATAAATGTTGGTCCTTCAAAAGGGGTATATGAATTTTGACCTCTGCGCGCCACGCCTTAACCAAAATTTATATGTGATATCTTCGACTATAGCAGCATCGACGTAGGGGTTGAGTCTAAGGAAATCTGATGTAAAAATTTGCTTCCTGCATTTAAAGACCACCCTAATGTTTATATGTATGCAATTTCTTTTCACTTGCAGAATGTAAGCGTGGCACAGCGCCGCTACCGAATGCCACCAACGTGGCTTATTGAACAAAAACAAAAGTGAAAGGCGTAAATGCGTGGCACATGTCAGCACGTTTCAAACTGTTATCTGTACAGAATCTCAAGCAGTGACAAAACTAACGCCGCAGCTGCTCGTCAACAGCATCATCGTACACCCACGCTTTGTTAACTATAGACATATGGGTGCACTTATTTGCACGTGTAAATAAATATACAGATACTACATATGTACATACTATTAATGTGTTTTTTTTATTTCCGCTCAAAACGGATGCAGTTGTTGGATACTCGCAGATTCATAGAAACGTAATGTCAACGAAAGTCCCATTCATTTGCGCAAGCGTTGATGAAATTTCTGTTTAACATATCGCATAAAAAGCAATCTTTTGATATTGTTTATTGCAGTTTATTTCAAGTGGTGCCACGTTTTCATTGTCGAATTAAAAAAGTTATTTGTGAATAAAAGCAAAGCAAAAGTAAATTGAAATATGTTTGAGGCATTCACAGAAAATGGCGAAATTTGATAGGCGCAGTAAATTGAATAGTGTTTATTTTGGCCGGGCGCTATTGATTTTATACAGTAAGATTTTACCCTGATATATGCACCTATTTCAGTTCTTTCAGTTCAAATTTTAGGTAGCTAGGACTTACCGCTGATTTTTGGCAATTTTTTTGTGGGAGGTGTGCTCACAAAATAATTCTCGACCATAGTTTGCATGGAAGAAAATACGTGAACAAAAAATGTCAAACTTGAACTTATTATACTATACTGAAAGAAATTATAAAAACTCTGATTAAAAAGTTAACAATTTTATCTAACATTTGTTCCATTTAATTTCTGTTGAAACAAAAAAAGCGAAAGTTTTTGTTTTAAATATTTAAAATATATACTTATGTATGCCTTCGTGTTCTATCTTTCGGTATGGACGTTTCCTTTTTTTGAATTTTCGGAATTCTTCGTGTTATATTGGCGACCGCTTTGGTGTAGTAGTTAGCAGTTGGAGCCACGATTCGGCTATTGTTAATAATGTTATTTGATGACGAAGTGACGTACTTTTACTACAACTACAAAGCTGTAACAAAACAATAAAACAGAGGCCCAGAATAATAATTATTTAATGGTGGAGTTTTAAAAAAGTCATTCAAATTTTCGGAAGAATTATAAAAGTCTTTTGATATTAATTATGTGTGAGAAAAGTTTTTAAGTCATCGATAACTGTTATTTTAAGACCTATATAAAAAAAGTCTCTTCATAATAATTAACAGCGAGATAAATATTTTTCAGTCTTCAAAGACTGACTTGAGACTTATATTATAAAAGTCTTGTCATAATAATTATCATTGAGATAAATATTTCTTCAAAGACTTTTATTTTGAGGCTTTTATTATAAAAGTATTTTCATAATAATTATGAGTGTGAAAAAATTGTTTAAGTTTCAAAGGACGGGGCTTGTGCAGGACAATTTCGAGATTAGTTCGGGACCATTTCGGGATTAGTTCGGGGATAGTTGGTGCCCAGTTCGGGTCTAGTTGGGGATCAGTTCCGAAACAGTTTGGAACTAGCCCCGAGCTGGTCTCCAACTAATCCCGAAATGGTCCTGCACAAGCCCCGTCCTCTAAGACTTAAAAAAATGTTTCGCAGTCATAATTATTATGAAACGACTTTTATAAGTCTCAAAAAAAAAAGTCTTTGAAGACTGAAAAATATTTATCTCTCTGATAGTTATTATGAAGGACTTTTATAATATAAGTCCTTGAATAATAAATATTGATAACTCGAAAAATTTGTATCTTAATATAATAAATATAGATTGACTTTTATTATTTTATATTTTAATAGTTATGTCTCTGGTAAATACTGAATCTTACTGACTTCCAGACGACTTGGTCAGCCTGACGAAAGTATTGGTCAGAACTGGAATGAACTTTAGCAATAACGACTCAAACACTGTTATTATTGTTATGATTAGGAACGCTTAGGCTATTGTTGAAATTAAGCACTTTGAAGGGTGTCATATTTCAGATTCTGGATGGAGATGATAACACATTGCAACACTCAAAAAGTAGTGATGGAAACGAGTGCAATTGCATTCATTAATAGAGGTCGAAATATAAATAAACGCCAAAGCATTTTGGTTCCCATTTCCTTTTGATATCGATTTGAAGTTGTGAATTTAAGGTTCAAAAAATAAACAAGTTCACAAATTTAATACCTACATACATATGTGTATATATATACATACATAATATATATGTTATATATAATAAAGTATGTTCAGTTGAAAATTGAGATGTGTCAAAAGCTCCTCCCCTCCCGCTCCGTTAACTTTCGAAAATGTGTCTTTAAATTATACGTGTCATTTTCTAAATCCTTTTTTACTTTTTCATTATTTGACTAGCTTAATCAAATGCTGTTGGGCGAGTGTAATCGTTCTCAGTTTAAGCTAGGCCTTCCGCCATTGGGTTTCAATTTGAGAGTGGTCCCATCTCCTTAAGAGCTCCACCCTATGTCCCGGAACCCACCACTGTTATTGGTTCCTAGGTTTTCCAGCACCATTTTTTGCAACTGCCTATTAGCTTCGAAATCGTTTTTCAAGAGTCTTGCATTGGTTTTAGATGGTTTTTTTGTATAAGCATCATATTTCTAGGGTGCTTTGGCGTACGTTCCAATTGCATATTAACCGGCAACCGATTAGAAAAGGCACAGCGGATGTGTTGTTGTTGGCTTCTATACAATCTGGTGTCTGGTCAACCGTCGAGCGCGACGTATGAGACGGCATTATGCTCTCAATTATTGCCTATATGCACACATTATACGCACATATGTATGTATGTTGTATACCTCAACTGAGTTAAAAGTATATTTTGAGCAGCAGATAAGCGCAACTACTCTTAAAGGCATTTTATGAAAAACTTGCAGTCTCGTTCGCGGCTTTGGCACAGCAGCATCGTACATTAGCAGCAGAAAAGTTTAAGTACTTTGAGATAAAACAAATTAACTTTTAATTTTAAAGCCCCTGAAATAGTGAAATCTGGACATTAATCGTATTTTCTTGAATGACAAAGTATTTTGTGTAAGTTAAACAACAAAATTCTAGTAACCAAAAAGTTCTGAGTGAAAGTGTTGCAGTAGAAAATCTCTGGCTTATCTTACTATACAATATTAAAACATACTACTGTTTAGTTAGTGAAACTATTTGATTCATAATTTTTTCATAATAAAAGCTAAAATTTCAAATTCACACCACGATCGAGCGAAAAGCGTTA